ACCACCATGAGAATCAAGGTGTCTTTGCTTGAAGAACTATTCAATCTTATCAGCAGCGTGGAACATAAACGCAGGGGACCAGAGCAGGAGCCGCAAAGGCATGGTGTGTCTGAGCCTCAGCCCCCTATGAGTGCTCTTCCCTGCGACTCCCGCACAGCCTGCCACTGAGCCACAAGGGCACACAGCCACGGTCCACCAGGAAACAACCTGGGGTCCCTCCCTGCCTCTAGCTGTCTGCAAGCCCCCAGACAGACGCACCCACCTTGGCTCCCAGCGCACCCCAGAGAGAGAGGGGATGCCTTGAGAACACCCACCCAATTCCAGCACTCATCGGTCACCCAGATGGTCACAGCTTCTCCATCATTAAAGCAAGAGCTGTAATCCCTCCAGGACTCTCCGAGCTCACAGGACGCCAGGACGCTCCAAAGAACAAATGGAGGTACTGGTGAAGCCTTCCGAGAAGGCAGATGGAATCTTCGACCATCAAAACAATGGCAATGACCCAAACAAAGACACAGAAAACTGGCATTGGCTGCAGATGATAGGATCCTCTCCCCAGAGAACAAACAAAATCAACAGAGAAACAATTAGAACTAATAAGAGAGCGAGCTCACTGAGGTTGCCAGATGCAAGCTCAACCCCAAAACAGACAGTATTCCTCTGCACCAGCACCAGCTATTAGAACGGGTAGTCAAAAATAAGGAGCACTCTGTAATAGCAACAAAAACTATAAAGTAACTAGGAACTGACCCAAGAGTGCACCAGGGCTCTCGGGTGGGGGCGGGGACTCAAAACTTATCAAGAGTAGACACAATCTGATAAACGGAGAGACAGTCCGGGCTCTTGGTTGGGGCAGATATTACACAGATGTCAATTCCCCCCCAAATTGATCTGTAAAACTAATGTAATTCCAATCCAGGTTCCAGTATGGGTTTTCTTTCCAGGAACTTGAGAAACTTTCTCTAAAGTTCATAAAGAAGAAGAGAGGTCCACAAATACCCAAGTCAATCTTTCAAAATTAGAAGGAAGAGAAGATGTCCCTTCCCAGATACTAAGCCATGCTAAATGCCACAGTTGTGACAAGAACAGACAAATAAATGTTTGGAACAGAATAGGGAGCTCGAAGACAGACCCATGAATAGATGGGAAATTCGCTTATGATCAAGGTGGCCCCGTGAATGCCGGGAAACAGTCTGTTTACTAGGTGTGTGGGGAAAATTGGCTCACTACACGGAAAAAAATACAACCTGATCCCCACTTGACACCGAGGGAGGCTCAGGATGGATGAAAGCCAACTGGGAGAGGTAAAACAATTAAATTAATAGAAGAAAATGGAGCCCTCTGCAACCTCAGGTGGTGGTGAAGAATTTCTTAAACAAAACTTCAAAAGCACAAAGTTCATGTGTATCAATGCAAAATGTCTTTGTTGAATAAAGTTGAGAGCTAATTGAATGGCAGGTGATATTTGCAATATTTCCACCCAACAGGAATGAATGTCTGGAACCCAAATATTGAACTTTTAACAGTAAGCATGTGTATTGCTAGAATACCCAAGCAACTCCTGCAAATCACCAAGAACAAATAAGAGTAGCTTCATTAGACGAGCGAGTGAGGAGGGGTGCTTGGGTGGCTTAGTTGGTTGAGCACACAGACTTTGGCTCAGGTCATGATCTCAAGGTTCCTGGGTTGGAGTCCTGCTTCGGGCTTTGTGCTGACAGCTTGGAGCCTGCTTTGGATTCTGTGTCTCTTTCTCTGCCCCGACTCGTGTTCTACCTCTCTCTACCTCTCTCTCTCTCAAAAATAAATAAGCATTTAAAAAAAAAAAACATTAAAAAAGAAAGAAAAGTGAGCAAGGATATGAGCAGGCAACTCACAGGAAAGTCAACACAAAACGCGATCAAGCCTAAGACATGCCAGGATTCACACAATATCAAAGAAATGCAAATTTGAGGCAGCCAGTGTTCACTTTCACCTATTAGGTTGGCACAGATTAGAAACGTGGATGACACCAAGTGTGGCAGAGATTTGGGACTAGGAATCTAGTACTCTGTTTAGGCACGTGGTGATGGGTAGCCACGCCGGGGTACAGTCTGATAGTGCTTCGTTGGATGAAGCGCCCACAAACCTTGTGAGCCAGCAATCCCAGCTTCGCAGATACATCCTGAAGACATCCTCACACGAGTCCAAAAGGGACCGTGGCTGAGGGTGCCCACGGCAGCATTATTCATGCAGGAAACCTGGAGATGGCTGCCCAGGAGGGTGTGCAGGCAAACCGAGGTGGCTACACACCACAGAATATGAAGCTACAGACTAGATGTTAAGTAACAACATGGACGGACTTAAAGGCATCCTCCCGTGCGAGTAAAGTGAACACCGGGATATAATGTATAGCACATATCATTTACATAAATTAAGCCTGTGTGTATCCAGACAAAATACACATTTTGCGAGAACATATGCAAGCAACACATTCACACTGAGTACATCTGAATGGTTGCCTGAGGGGAGGGTAATGGGGCTGGGGAGTGAGATAAAAAGGAAAAGGAAATGAAAGAGAAAGAAAAAAAAAACAAAAAACATGAACACAAATATGGTTTCAGTGATTTGAGGGAGAAGCAAGAGCCGGGGCCAGCAGAAGCCTGGGAGGGGGTGGGAGGGGAGCACCGTAGGGGACAGGTATCCGGAGGCCCCGAGTTGGCTCACTTTGCTGGCCGCCCCCCCCCACCGGCTGACCAGGACCTGGGGACACATGGCTGATGGCCCAGCAGGTGCAAGTCTGTAGCTGAGCCAGAAATTGTTCCAAATCATTGACTCCTAGTGGAGGGATTCTACAGTACAGCACACAGCCCACCCCTTCATTCATTCGTTAGTTCATTCATTCATTCATTCATTCATTCATTCTGTACGAAGCTCTGGTGTGCATTAGACACACAGATACCCCAGAGAACAAAACAGACAGGCTGCTCTCTCCCCTCACGGAGGTTATGATCTAGCGGGGCACGTCAGACACGGCAATCTCATCCAGAACTGCGCAGGAGGGAGAATATGGGCCAAGGAGAAGACACCTCCTGGTCCTCAGGGTGCTTCTTGTCTGGCAGACATGTGACCAAAACAGAGAGGGACCTATGCGAGGCCACCCACAGTCCACAGCATGGAGGTCTTTATGGCCCCTTGGCTAGCGACAGGAAGCGGTGTGGGGGGACAGCGGCTCACCCAGAGCCTCTCCCATTCTTCTTTAAGTTTATTTACTTATTTTGAGAGAAAGAGAGCGGGGAGGGGCAGAGAGAGAGAGAGAGGGCGGGAGAGAATCCCAAGCAGGCTCCTTGCTATCAGCACAGAGCCCACTGCGGGGCTCAGTCCCACAAACCGTGAGACCATGACCTGAGCTGAGATCAAGAGTCGGACGCCTGGGGCGCCTGGGTGGCTTAGTTGGTTGAGCTTCCGACTTTCACTTAGGTCATGATCTCGCGGTTCGTGGGTTCGTGCCCCACGTCGGGCTCTGTGCTGACTGCCAGCTCAGAGCCTGGAGCCTATTTCAGTCTGTGACTCCCTCTCTCTCTGACCCTCCCCTGCTCACGCTGTCTCTCTCTCTCTCCTAGAAATAAATAAAAAACATTTAAAAAAAAAAAAAAAAAGAGTCGGACGCCTAACTGGCTGAGCCCCCCGGGTGCCCCGAGCCTCTCCCATTGTTGTCTGCTGCCCCAGGTGTCCCACCACGCCCCCTCTTCTGGCTCTGCTCCCATATTGGAGAGGAAAGTTTCTGTCAACGTCCCTCACGCTAAGGGGCTGATATTTCCCTATTCCCCCCTGCATGCAAAACGTTCCCGAGAGGAGGCATTTGGGGCACCTCAGAGGAGATAGTTAATTGCACAAGGGCTTTCTTGGAACCTCTCAAGTCACACCGCCCTGGAAGCCACCTCTGGGCAGCAAAGAGGCTGAGTCTCACCCCATCTCACACACCCATGCTGGCCCTCCTGATGCCCACCGCCCCCCTCCCCAGAGCCAAGGCCACCGTGAAACTCCACTCTCACTGCAGAGAAGGCTCTGCACAAATATTTACATAGCTCCTCGCCGGGGGCTGCAGCAGACACAACACGGAGGAGCCGCCCTCCGAACACTCTCCAGACCCCAGAGAGGCCAGAAGTGGCTGACACCCTCGGCCTTGGCAAGCTACCTCACCCCGGGGTGGGACCGGGACAGGAAGCTCCCAAGGAGGCCAGGGCAGCATACTCCAGCTCAGGAACGACCCTTCCCTAGAGGCCTTGCAGAGAAAGTGCTGGCTGGTGGCAGGAGGGCCCCTCACGACCCTGTGCCCTGCTCCTGGCCACCGCGCAGGGGCACGTGCAGATGCTCTCAAGGGCCACGCATCCGAGCTGCCCAGACCCTGAGTGGAAGGCCCAAGGTGGACGGAGCCACCCTGAGGCTTCCACCCCCGAGAGAGGTGCTGCCTGTCTCTAACCTCATTCCTCCAGGGATCACTGTGCTATGCTCCCACCCCACAGACACAGGACACCTAGGCACCCACCTCTGTCTGACCCGCCTACCCGGCCTCAGTATACCCAGGGGCTCCTTCACCAGCAACCCAGCTGATGGGGGCCTGGGGGCCCGAGGATCACGACCTGGACAGGGACAGAGGAGGTGGGTGTCTGAGCTTGGGCAGGGGTCGGCCATGATGGAGGAGGGAGGAGTGTCAGAGCATCCCAGTGAGGAGTCTTATTTCAGGGGGCAAGGGGGAAATAGGGGAAATGGCCCGGGGCATACGGAGGGTCGCTGGTGCCAGAAGCGTCTGCCCGAGTGCCTGAGAAGCTGTCATCTGAGTCTGGGGACCACACACCAGTGGCTGTGAGGCCACCACTGGGGCTCTGGCTCCCCATGGGCACTAGGGACACTGGGGAACAGGCTGGCTCGATGGTCTCCACCCCTCCCCCAGCCCACAGCTCAGCTGTTGCAGTGGGGGCCCTCTGACCCTGCCACCATGGCAACCAGCCTGCAGCTGGAGTGGAGAAGCCGGCTGACTTCTCCAGAGACACCCCCATCCCCACCCACGCACAGGCTCCTGGGGACACAGGGACATGGAGACCAGGCCAGAACAGGCAGAGGTATGGGGAGCCAGAGAGAGAGACTTCCAGATAGAGCCCAGAGGGGCAGAGGAAGAAAGGCGAGGAGGAAGGCTGGGGTGGGGGAGGGGGGTGGAGGGAGGGAAGAAGGGAGACAGGTGTAAAGAGGAGGAGATAAAGACCAAGGGGACAGGAGTCGGCAGGGAGGCCACCTTGGGACCTTGGGAGAGGAGGGGAGTCCCGGAGCACAGGCTGAACTCATAGGAGGCAGGGCTAAGAGAGATGAAAACAAAGAGCAGAGAACAAAAGGGACAGAGAGCTGGGGACCTCCCTGGGGCCTGGCTGAGGACAGAGCAGGTGATAAGGAGCCACGCTGCCCCCACGCTGTAAAGGGCCCACAGCCCACCCCTCCAACCACGTCAGGACACAGGTGTACACGAGCAGCACCTGCTGCCAAGACGGGGGCCCCAGGGCCCCCCAAGGGTGCTATCGCCTGCCGGCCCCAAGCTGCTGGCTCTACTGCCAGGTCACTCTTAATCCTGGGCTTCCTGTTAAGGGGCACGGACACGGGGCTGGAGGGCCCTGGCACCTCGAGTCTCTCCCTCCGGCCCGCACCCCCCCCCCCAAGTCTGGCCTCCCCACCTCCCAGCAGTCCCAGCACCTAAATAATAGGGCTGTCTGGCTCCGGGCCCTGATACTGCACAGAGCTAGGCTTGAGGCACCGACACGGCACAGCTGTCCGCAGTGGCGCCTGCCAGCAGAAGGCCCCGCCTCCTTCCCAGCCACCCACCTCCCTGGAGCGGAAGCCCGGGGACCCACTCTCCTGAGGCTGGCCCAGCCAGACACCCAGAAAAGGGCCTGGACAGAAGCGAGCGGTGACATTGCCGCTCCTCACCCCTGCCTCCCTGTTCTGCCCGAGCACAGAGGTGCGAGCTCATGTACACCTGCATTCACAGCTCGGGTCAGGCCACAGGACTTTGCCCAGGAGACTAAGCGTTTCAAGGCAGAGGGAAAGGAGGCAGAGGAGAACTGTGCGTCCTAGGCCTCAAGTGCCAGGACAAATGGGCACCCGCATGACCTGAGGGTCAAGGCCAGCCTGTGGGCCAACAGGAGAATCTAAGTGAGAGCAGACAAGAAGTCAGGCAGAGAGGACTGGCCACATGATTTTCGGGGTGGCAGCCCCATTTGAAGGGTTAACTGGAGTGAAGAAAGAACATGAACTTGAGCAGAGGGCCTGGGTTCTAGTCCCACTTCATCCACTGATTAACTAGTAACCAGACCTCTGCTTCTCAGCTTCTCCATCTGTAACTCAAGTGGGGCTGGATTAAGTGATCCTCAAGGTCACCAAGATTCCATGATAGCACCTCTGAAGAAGGGGTCCCGTGGCCATCTTCTCCCAAAGGAGTCAGCGTGGGGCCAGCGGGAGGGCCAGTTCCCCAAACACTACGGGAAAGACAGAAGCACCCAGGCAGGCCTCTCTGGCCGAGGCACTGCGTGAGCACCTTACCCTGGAAGCAGAAACAGGCTCAAGGCAGTGACCAAGTTCCCATGCTACATAATTCCTGGTGTTAGACCTGAACCCAGGACTTCCGTACCAACATTCTTTTCATTACACCAATGGTTTGCAAACTTTCAAACTAAAATTGTACATAAAGTGCAGAATACAGACACACCTGTGCTTACCCGGGGCCATTTTTAATATGTGACAGCAGAGCAGAATGGGTCGGGCTCTGATTGGACGGAGAAGAGGCCCGTTCCCAGCTCTACCACTTTCTAGCTGTGTGACTTCGGTGAAATTTCTTAATTTCCCTGAACTTCAGTTTCCTCATCCGTAAAATGGAGATAAAAATAGTATCTACCTCCCAGGGTTGTTGTGAAGATTGCATGAGATAACCTAAGTAAAGCGTTTAGCTCAGCGTCCGGCACAAAGAAGCCACCCAGCAATGTTTGCTAGCACTAGATGGCCCGGCAGATATAAAAACAGATCTGCTCTGATTCAAGTTCTGGGGAGACTTCCTTGAAAAAAATAGACAGAAAGCTTCAGAGTTTGGATCTACTCTCCCCACCTCCCACCCGGAGCCCCATTGTCCGTAAGCAAACTCTCTTCCACAGGACCACAGTGATAGTGTCCCTTCTAATGCTGTCCAGTGACGTCACATGCTTTTGCACTCGATGCAAAAGCGGGGCCATGGAGAGATGCAAGACTTTACAAGGCAGCTTCGCTGGACTCTGAGCACGCAGGGGATATTCCAGGGACAGCGCCAGGTGCACACAGGCCTGCTGGCTCACTCTGCCTACCCACGGGGAAAGCAAAGAGTGCTACCTACAGCAGGTAAGCTTCCATCTGGCAGTAACTTCATCTGCCTTGTTCACTGCGCTGTCTACAGGACCCTAGCACTGCACCTGGCTCACAGGCTCAGTAAATGCTCATCAGATACAACTCTTGAGTAGCAGCGTTTGGACATCCATGGCCAGTCCAGTGGCACCTTCTGGAGCCATCTCCCCAGTCCTCCAATACCTGCCAAGCCCAGTTTCACCGTCCTCCTTGAGCAGAGCGCACCCCACCAGGGCAGGCACAGTGCGGGAGCAGCCCCGCCCAGGGCTCTGTTTATCCACTGTCCCGGAAGCCCAGAGCAGCTGGGCTGGGAGGCGGTGGCTGAGCAGAGACACCTGGCGAAGGAAGGGGTGATGGGTGGTGGGCGGGCACTCAAAAGACGGGACAAAGGGAACGGAGGTTGTGGGAAGAGGCACACCCCTCCTGCCAGGTGCAGCCTAAGTACAGAAGAGAGAGGGGCAGGAGAAGGACAGCAGAGAGCCAGAGTCCCGCAGCCCCCCTGCCTCACCCTCGGTGACATCTCCCCCCACCAATCACCTAGCAGGGGCTGCCCTAGGGAGCTAGAGGCCTGAGCTGGAAGTCAGTGCCCAGCCACCAAACTGACTTTCTATCAGCTCCTTCCACACACCCGCCATCCTGGCCCCTTCAAACTCCAGCCTCCCTACCTCAACGTGCCCTGGTCAGCCCAGGGAAGGAAGAAACCAAAGGCGACACCCACAGCCAAACAGGCCCTTGGCCACCCCGAAACCCATCTCGCCAGAGTGCGTGAGGTGAAGAGACCCACACCGTCCTGGGGCCCCAATGCCCAGCCCCCGCCTGCCACCTGACCCACAGAAGTGACCTCAGTTGGGGTCACACCCACAGGGGACTCGCCGGATGCCCCGCCACGCTCCTGCCTCGCCCATTCCGGCGGTCCCTGCCCCGACCCCTGTCCCTCGTGGCCCCGCCCCCTCGCCGCGACCACGCCCCCTCGCCGCGGCCCCGCCCCGGCCCGCGCCTACCATCCTTCCGGTAGAAGGCGATCTCCACTTTGCGCTCCTCCGCGCCCAGCAGGGCTTGCGCGATCTGCGCGGCCGCGCGGCGCTGCGTGCGCGGCCCGTGCAGGAAGTCGCAGGTGCAGGGCCGCTGCATCACCTCGGCTCGCGAGTAGCCGCACAGCTCGCAGAAGCCGTCGTTGCAGTAGATGACGGCGCAGTTCTCCACCCGAGCGTTGGCGATGATGAACTTGCGGCCTGGGGGGCGGGGATGAGCAGGCACGTGAGCAGGGACCCCTGCCTCGGGGGCTCCCAGCCCTTCCGCGCAGTCTGTTGTCACACACAGCTACCCGCCCGGGGACTCCCCGCCCTAGGCAGCACAGCGGGGACTGGGGTCCCCGGCAGGGGGCGAATGCAGCTGTGTGGCCCGACACAGGTGCCTCCGCCGGTCCGGCCCGGCGACGCGCCCCCTCCCCCGCCAGGCCCGCGGACTGGCTGCATGGCTTCCCCCGGGCAGGCTGCCAGAGGCCCCCCGCCCCCTCCGCGCCCGGGCCGAGGCCAGCCTGGGCGGGTGTCAGCAACGCGTGTCAGCAGCCGCGGCGGAGGGATAAACACTGGGCCTGGAGAGGGAGCCTGGGAAGGGCCAGAGATGGCGGCTAGCCTTCCCTTTGCATCAGGTCGTCCGGCTTCTCTTCCTGACCTCTGCTCTCTAGACTGGGGGGGGGGGGGGGGGGGGTGTCGCTCACTGGGCACTCCTTACCCAGAGGATCCTTAGGAAATCACTCCCCCAAGTTTCTGCAGACCCTACCAGGTCAGTACTTCCTGGGACTTACACGCCCCTCCAAGGGCAGTCAGGGACTGGACAGTGGGCACTCTGAAGGGGACGAGGAAAGTACCACGTGAACACCTACGATGCTTTCTTTCACTACCCTGACAACCCACATAAGGTGGGCATCCTTATCTTTGCTTTATAGATGAAGAAACTGAGGCTCAAAAGAAGTTCAGAGCCAGGCCCACATCTTGCAGCTTGTAAAGGACAGAGCCAGCTTCTGAACCTAGGTCTGGCAGAGGAAGGGATAAGCGGAGGGTTACAGGCAGAAGCCCAAGGTCATAGGGAGCAAGGAAAGGGACCAGAGGCTCCAGTCCTGGAAAATACCGGGAGCCAGCAATGGACCCGAGACAGTGGCCCACTTGTTAAGACAGACCCAGGGAAGGGAGGCCTTTTTCAGTTTGGCCCCGTCAAGCGGAGGTGCCCCAATGGACTCATTTTGGCTAGTGGGGGCTCACCCCCTCCACACCTGCCCCCATCGCCCAGCAAGCTGGCAGTAGCCTCACCCCCTCCACACCTGCCCCCATCGCCCAGCAAGCTGGCAGGTGAGCAGCAGACAGGCAGCAGCTGGTGCGGTGGGAAGATGCTCTGGGATAAGAGCTTTTTATAAACACAGAAGTTTCCGGCCACTTTGGCCTTTAATGCTGGGGCTTTGGGTAGCATTTGGAACTCTGCCCCCTCGCTTTCCGGTGGGCACAGCTCTCTTAGGCTGCAGCTCTCGGCAATCCCGTGGGCAAGGCCCAGGCTGCTGCAGCAAGGGCTCCCGAGACAGGCTGCCGAAAGCCATCCCTTATCCTGTCCCCAGAAAGTTAGTTTCTGAAGTTGGGTCATCTTTAGGTCAGTTCACCAGGCCTCCAAAACTCCCAGGCAGCCATCAGGACTCAGGGTTCCTTGCCAGATGAGAAGAAACCTGACGCAGCCTTCACCTCCACCTAAGTCCAAGGCAGTCCAGAGTGCTAGCCACACACACCAGCTTTGGAGAAGTGCTCCAGCTCCCAGGCCCAGAGAGAGAATGAGTTTCTTCGAAGGCAGGCCCTACCCCCACCCCATTCCGAGCTCCTGGAATACACCGCAGAAGGGATCTGAAAGGCTCCTTTGGCCACCCCGTCCTTTCCAGATGTGGAAACTGATATTCAGAGGAGGAAGAGAGTCACTCAAGGTCACGTGGCAATCAGTGGCAGAGCTGGGGCCAGAAGCTGAGCCCCCAGACCCCAGCCCAGGTTCTTTCCATACGGAAAGCCTGTGTACAGCCTCCTGGAGTGTGCGAGAAGGAAAGACCCCACCTTGTGGCCCTCCACCGTGTCAGTCTCCTCCCTTTCAGGATCATCTTGTTCCTGGGCTTCAGACAATGCTGCGCATCGACCCGATCCCTCCCTCCCCCCACCATAGTTACAAGCACACGCTGTCCTGTGCTCACAGGGTCATGGGCAAGGAATGTCACCAGCTCCCTGCTCCCAGGGCCCTTGGCAGTCACACCCACCATGGCACATGCAGCCTTGGAGACAGACGCACGCATGCCGGGAGGATAAAACACCCACACCAGAACATTCACCTAGCCTGGGACACTTCTGGAAGCCTCCCCTACTGGGCCAGCATTAGAGGTGCTGTAGTCCCCATAAAGGAGCCTCAGGGCAGGAAAATCAGCAACATGGGGGCACTGCACTGAGCCCGTTAGACTCTTAAAGCCCAGCCTCAGGCCATGACACCCTGTCACCTGGGAGCCCACCGTTTGTGGCTATCAAAAATACCTCCCCACTGCCCATGCAGGGCCGAACTTATGGGAGACACGCTCGCCCCAGGGGCAGGTTAGGCACTGACTCGAAGTGCTTGGCTCTCAAGTCTCTCAAAAATACAGTCAGGACAGCTCAGGCACAGTTCTTAGCGTCTCAACAGTTTGGACCATACACGTTCTGTCCCTGCCCCCACACAGCTCCAGCCACATCCAGGCACCGAGTTAGGGATACCTGCACACTTGAGATGTCACACACCCTCCAGATCCTGGAAGCCTGGGCTGAGCCTCCAGCCCTGCGCCCCAGTACAGTCCCCTTGGCTCCAAACCCACGGCCCCCAGCACCAAGCCCTGCCCTCGAGACCCCTGGCCGGCGCCTTGAGGCCACCAGCCCCCAGTGACTCGCACCAGCCCGAAGCACACGGCCGGGGCACGCCCCTCCATTCACACTCGGGAGCGCTCGGCCCGCCCCCAGAGCCCCCTCCCCGTCGGCCCCCTCCCCCACTCACTCTGGCCCTCAAACTTGCGGATGATGGTGTCCAGGAAGGTGTTCTGCGGCGCGACATGGCCCCTCCGCACCGGCATCCTGAGCCCATGGGCGGGCCGGGCGGGCCCCCACCCACCCCGGCCCTGCCCGGCCCAACACAGGCTTCGGGTGGCCCGGCCCGGCCGTGATCCCCGCACCCCGCGGCCAAGCAGACCACGGGCGGGGCCGGGACTGGGTTGCGGGCGCGGGGTCCCCGCTCGGCTCCCGGCTCCTGACCGCGGGCCGGGCCTGGAGCCGCCTGAGCTCGGGCCGCCCGGCCGCCCGCACACCTGTCTGCCGGCCCCCGCCGAGCCACGGGCCCCGATCCGCCGCGTCCCCGCGCTGCGCTCCGCCCGCCCGAGCGCCGGGCTCCCGGCTCCCGCCCGCCGCGCCGACAGCCGCTCCGGCGCCCGCGGCTCGGGCTGCGCCTGCGGCTCGGCCCGGCGGCGGAAGGGTTAACGTGGCGCGCGCCCCTCGGGCTCCGGCCCCCGCCTCCCGGCCCCCTCCCGCCCGCCGCGCGCCCGCAGCACCGCCCTCTCTCCCCCCCACACCCCGCGCGCCCGCCCTTCCCATTGGCTGAGCAGCGTCAAGGGCTCCCCCACCCCAGCCCCTCGCTCAGCCCAGGAGCCCCCGGGACTCGCGCGCCCCAAAGAGGGGGAAGGGGCCCCTAGGTAGGGGAACAGCGAGGATAGGTGTGATGACCTGCCTTGAGACGACCAGGGAGGGGACTGGGGATTCCTCTCCCCACCCCTGGGCTGGAAGAGCTGAGGAACCTGACTTGTAGAGGGCTGGTCCCTTTTGCCCTTGTCGCCCACCACCCCAAGCACCAGCTGGGTACACACAACAAGCCCTCAAAGCCTGCTGTAGGTGACACTGGCCAGGCCTAGGCCTTGGGAGGTTGAGCCCCGGGTCAGCGGAGGCAGGGGAAACGTGAAGGGCAAGATAATCTGCAGCCGGGGACGCGATTTGGAATAAGGTTGGGTGAGACTTAGGAGGGACACGCACCCAGAGCCAGGGCGACCCTCCCCAACACACACACACACACACACACACACACACACACACACACTCACTCACTCACAGCCCTCTCTGGGGTTATTCGGGGCTCTCCTGCACAGAAAGGTACATTTTGACACGAGTTGCGGCCTCCTGGCTGCGGGATCAAAGCTAGGCCCCTGAGCGCGAGTTTCCAGCCTGGGGATCCCCTTGTGCGAGTGGCCCTCCCTCCCTCTGCAGCGCGGGCCGGCCTCGCAGGCCCAATCCGCGGCGGGCTCGGGGCCCTGCGGCGCTGCGGCGGCCCAGCCCCTCGGAAAACCCTGGCCTCGCCGCAGGCCCCTCCCCCCCGGGCCAGCTGGCTCGCTCCAGCTGCAGCTCCCTTATTTAGGCAAGGAGGCCCGAGGATGCTCAAGGGCAGGCAGGGTGTCTGCCCGCCGCCTGCCCACCGCCTGCCTGGGTCTCAACGAGGGTCTCTGGGGCGCGGTGTCCCCAGCCTTAGCAGCCAGGCAGGGCCCTGCGAAGGCCAGGGCAGGGAGGCCGAGTGTTTCGGCTGAGCTAGCCGGTGGGGTGGAGTCGGCAGCTGAGCAGCCAGCCTCGGGTCCCCTCCCCTGCGGCCCAGATCTGAGACCCGGCTGGATGGATGGGGCCATGTGGGGGCCCCTGAGGGCTTGCAGCTGCCTCTGTACTAGGAGCAAGGGGGTGGGTCTTGTCACCAGGGAGAACCATCATGGGATGTAGGGGGAGGGGAGGAACAAAGGGCAAAGAAAGGAGCAGACTCTGGAAAGGGAAAGGCCCAGAGCAAGAGGTCTTGCTTGTTGAGACCACCCTACCCAGACTCTCACCATCCACCCAGGAGCCAAAAGATGCACACACTGGGGCCAGATGGGGCCACTGGCCAGCAGATGACACCTCTTTTTTATTTGCTGGTGGGTGGGCAGTGACTCAGGGAGGCAGCCAGTGGGAGAGAAGGAGGTGGCTTCACCAGCTGATGCTAAAAAAGACCAGAGGCTCTTGCCTGTACAGTCATCCCTTCGGCCCTCTCCACCTCCGGCAGCTTCCTCAGTCGCACTCCAAGACGCCTGGGGCCTTCCTTAGCACGACTCCCCTTCTTTTGTGACCTGGCGTCAGGCACACCGACCCAGTCTGGGTACTGCCCAGCCCCTCCCCGACCTCACAACAACCACCACCACGACCCTTCCCCCAGATGCCGGGTTGCCTGCCCTGAGTCCAGGCTGATTGAAGTTGGAGCTGGGCGTCTTTCCCTCTGGTCTGGGGGCTTGAGAGAGTGCGGAAGGGCCCGCGGTGTGGACAGGCACCAGGAGAGAGGACATGGAGGAGGGCATCTGCAGCGTCCCCTTCTCTCCAGACCAAGGCCGGAGGGAAGGGAGCTGGTCACTTGGCCTGGCCAGCTGCTCCCACTGCGGTACCCATGTTCCCAGGACAGTCCTCTGCTCTTATCCCGTGGGAGGATGAAGAAATCAGAAGGACCCTTGATCCTCCCAAAAGAGAAGAGACCAGGCAGAGTAGCCTTCCTCCTGGGCACAGACACAGGTGCAAAGAGCAGTTCCCTCAGGCTAAGGAGAGGCAAATCACCCCCCCACACACACTCAGAAGTCAAGCTGAATGCAGGTTTCGGACTTCCTGGAGGTGGAGAGGAGTCTGAAGGCAGACCACCTCCACAGCCAAGGATGGGGATGAGAAAGGGAAGCTGTGAAATGGGGGTGAGGTGTCCCCAAAGACACCCTTCTTGGGACCACAGGTACCAAGCATGTAGACGTATTGGGCAACAGAGAAGCTGATGGAGATGCCTGCCCCACCCACCACCTTCCCACCTCAGATTAAGGAGCAAGAGGAAAGTACCCAACCTTAAAACCCAAAGCAACCAGATTCTACCCACCCTACTCTGGGTTCACAGGGCCACTTGCAAGGATGTTCCCGGGAAGACCTCTCCCCCAATGTGCCTGTGACTGAGGGAAGGGAGAGGCTATATAGACAGGGAGACACATAGGCTCCTTCCAGCTCCCAGAGAGGGACAGTTTAGGGAGAAGTTTATGGGGAAACACCCTGCCCATCCCACTCTCTGCTCCTGCTCAGTTTGAGGGAGTCAAGCCAGAGCGTCCCGAAAGGAAACAAGAAATGGAAACCTCTGCTTGCTGGTGTACTCCCAAGGAGCGGGCCAGGCAAGACAGAGCCAAAATAGGACCCAGGAGAGCAAGTGACAATCACAGGGGACTGGGAAACAGTTCTAATCAGATGGGCGCTGGCAAGACAGCTTATGGAGGAATGATGCCTCAGAACCCCCGGGGGTGGGGGGTGAGGGGCAGGGGAGAGGAAGAACACAGTGAGGTCTCTCTCTGTGCAAGGGGGAGTTCAGGCTGCATTGTGTGGCCTTATTTTTATGTGCAACTGAGTCCTGAGAAAGGGGATGTTTTTAGATCAGATATGAACTGGGGTTGGAGGGGAGCAAGGTCAAAGAAGTAGCATGTTGCCCTTCCAGACCTGGGGGTTCAGGGCTTGCTGAAAGCAAGGAAGGAAGGTAAAGGAGAGATAAAGGAGGGGAGGGGGTGAGGGAGGGCAACCCACCTCAACCTCCTAGCCAGGAGCCAGAGCTCCCTCCAGTCGCTGCCATCGGGAGGTCCCCCCGCAGCAATCCTGACAACTGACCCCCCATAATCAAGGTCTCCCACCAACCTGCTACCAGCTGTCGGTGGGACTCTTCCACTGCCATGAGGGTATCAAAAGAAGCAAGGAAGCTGCTGGACACTAGCATTCAGGAAACCTGACTTCTAATTCTGATTCTTCTATCAGTCACATCAACACATGTTCACTGGGGACTTGCGACGTTCTGGGCCCTATGTGCCAGACGCCGTTGGAGAAGGGGGACGGTACAGAAGGGATAAGCCAGGATCCCCCCTCCAGGGAGTCACGGTCTACTGGGGCTTGAGAAAGGCGGCGGGCAGAAAGAAACAGTGCAGTCTGCGCTAAGTGCTGTGAGATTACAAGGAGGTGTGTTTACCTTCAACTGGAGGCTTCTGGGAGGGAGGACCAAGCTGGCAAGGGAAGGTTTCAGAGCAGACTTTGAAGATCCAGAAGGGGCAGGGCAGAAGCACTGCAGGTGGGAGAGACAACAATGAGCAAAGGCATCGAGACTGGAGAATAAAGATCAGGTCTGGGACAAAACAGTTTGGTGTGCTGTCATTGGAGCATTAGACTAGAGCCACTAGCAGAAGACTGAGGAGTCAGGACGGTTATTCTATAGTCACAGGAACAATGGTGGCAGCTGAAATGTGTGGTCCACAAATATAGAAATCATATTTGTCTTGGGGCGCCTGGGTGGCTTAGTCGGTTAAGCGTCCAACTTTCGCTTAGGTCATGATCTCGCGGTTCGTGGGTTCGAGCCCCGAGTCGGGCTCTGTGCTGACTGCCGGCTCAGAGCCTGGAGCCTATTTCAGAGTCTGTGACTCCCTCTCTCTCTGACCCTCCCCTGCTCACGCTGTCTCTCTCTCTCTCTCCTAGAAATAAATAAAAATATTTAAAAAAAAGAAATCATATTTGTCTTTGTATAGATTCTAGCATATGGTTGGGATCTAATAAAGGTCTGTTGAATTCAAGAAATGTGTATAATTGTTTGGAGAAACAGAGGCAAACGTGAGGTGTTTCCGTTACTTATTGCTGCGTAAGACCCATTCCAAACTCCAGGACTTAAATCAATGACAGTGCTTATTTTGTCCATGTCTCTGCCATTTGGGCGGGTTCAGCAGGGACCACTTGGTCTGCGCCACTCAAGTCAGAACTAAAAAGCTCATCCACTCACATTTGGTGACTGATGCTGGCTGTCAGCTAGGGCTGGGGCCAGAACACCTAGAAGCCTTTCCTCGTGGCTGCCTGGCTTCTTCAAAGCGTGATGGTTGGGTTGAAGGGCAAGTGTCCCAAGAGTGGTTCAGGGAACAGTTGTACCACCTTTAATAACATAGCCTCAAAAGTCACATAAAAGAACTTCCACCATAATCATGGTCCATCAGATTCAAAGAGAGGAAAAAGACCCTCACTTCTCAATGGAGGA